TTTGCTTCACATGTTTTAAATGCTGGAATTTTTTTTAACAGACGGCTGTTCTTGCTAAGAAAACAAAATGACATATCAAAGGTAACAGCTTTAAGGATATACAGTATGTCAGAGTTTGACCATATGGCATGCAGGAAATGAGGGGAGAGACGGAGAGGAGGAATGACATGCAGCACATGTCCCTGGATGAACTCTGGAAATGGGGACGTTGAGATAACATGGTCAGCGTCTAAGACCCCCAGGCCACCGGGACACCCCCCACTTGATTGTTTTCATTGATCACTCAAGCTAAAAATGTAACCATAATGCTGTTAATCAAACTCAAACACAAAGTTTCTCCAAATCAAAGCATGGTACACAATGTACAACGAGGCTTTAGCTCACTTTATAAACCTCTCATTATTGCTTTGGGGTGTGTATGTCAGACATTTCTGTTTAAAAATGCATTGATACCTTTGAAATATACCATGAAATATACACTATCATCTCCAAATAGATTACAAGTATTATCTATAATTCATCTAGGGCTGACTCCAAATAGAATACAAATGTTATTCTTAAACTGACATGACAGGTTGACATCTCTCTACCAGTACTGATTTTGAAGTAGTATATCCGTGTCAAACTGCCCTTAAGAGGCATTGAGAATGTTGTATTATGGTAATTTTGTTTTCTTTGTTGAATCACATTGTTTAGCTGGGAAATTTTTTAGATGATTTTAGCTGAGGGAGATGGGGAGACATTTAGAAAATAAAATCTATTTGCTTACTATATGCAAAAACATGACCAGATAGCAGATACAATTCAATATAATTCATCAGTTGGTTTTGTCATAGAGTTGCAAATACAATGCAGTCAAGCAGTCGGGCCATTGTTACTTGAGGTAATTATAGTTGTGTGAAATGGCTGCAGAATATTTTTGGCATTGCACATGATAAACAATTTGCTCCCCATGTCTTGAATCAGAGAAAATGCCATTTTGGGACTGGCCAACATGGAAACGTGTTAAACAAGCCAATAAAAGAAGAATCAAATGTGGTTTGAGTATGAAGGTGAAGATGTTGTGACACCAAGAGCAGATTAGGAAAATATATAGAAGGTACAGTAATGCTGCAGCTTCATTCGCTGTCTGATAGAGGATAGGTAGAGAGAGAGAGAGAGAGAGAGAGAGAGAGAGAGAGAGAGAGAGAGAGAGAGAGAGAGAGAGAGAGAAATGAAAAGGCAGGAGCTTTAAAAGCTTTGGGAAGGATTTGGATCCAATAAGCCATCCACAGGATTAAACCATGTTAATGCAATGACTACACAAACTGGACACAGTGTGCACACACACACACACACACACACACACAAACGAGAGAGAGCGAAAGAGAGAGAGAGAGTGGCATGTGAACAATCACAGGAATGAGCCAGAAAAAAAAAATAATAATATGGTAACACAATACTGTTGTTCTGAGGCAGCATGTAAACAATGTCAGCAGTCATTTGTTAGGTAATTTAACTTCTTAATTCGGTCAAGAAATTAATCAGATCATCCCCAGATCGGCATCCTTCAATAGTGACATTCAGTGATTTCTACAGTGCACCATCAGAGTACCAATGTTACGACTGATAGACTAGAATTTGTAGTAGCACCAGTCCGACATTATGTCTACTTTCCCCAGTGGAAATCCCACAAATGAAGCAAGAGAACGACCCATACAATAGCCTTTCAGTATCTAATGACACGTTGTTCCAGGATGTGGCCCAGTAATTATTATAACAAATGAAGCATTGCATTTTACATCTAATATACATTTCTTGTCGTAATGTCAGCACTTTTGTTCTTTTGGCTGCAGTAGATTTAACATTCTAGATTATTAAAGCTCCTTGCATGAGGAGTCACAACTTCATTAAAGCCAATCCAATGCCTCTATGCAAATTAATAGTACAAAGTGTTCTCATGACAGAAAAAAAAATCCCCTGCAGAACTGCAGGCTTGGTCCTGGTCCGCTGTATACAGCTGTGCAGCACATGATTCCTCAGTCACATCCTACACTGTAATCAACTTCAGTTCAGAACAAAAGGAGAAATAGTAGAAAATCTTACAGTAAACAATTCATGTTATAGTATATATAGTATATGCTTTCTTTTCAAAGGTGTATGTACATCATGCTAGATGATAAACATTTATAGTTTGTCAATATATTACTAGCAGTTGCCAGAGGTGTATGTAAAGGATGTAATGGTGCTTCAATTGGTGAATACATTAGCTTTAGTTAAGCTAGAATTTTGATAATCGATTAATCACTGAATCATTGTCGATTATAAAGCAAAAATGCAATTTGGCCTTTCATAACACTGAATATATCTTTGTTGTTGGACTGTTGGTCAGACAAAATAAGCAATGTTGAGGTCTTGAGCACAGGGAATAATGAATATCAGGATATTTTGGTCCTCATTCCTGATTTGACTGCCAATATTACTGATTATAATCACAGTGATAGCCTGACTTTATCAGCAAGGTAAAAAGAAATTCAATGGTGAACAATGACTGGAGTGATCAACAATCCAAATGAATTGTTTTTGTTGTGTGCTGAAGATGAATTAGAGCACTCTCCCTTGATATATGAAAGCAAACATAATAACATCAGTAGTTCATCATGGATAAAATGCAACACTGTGACACGCAAATTGATTGTGGGCTGAATGAAGGCAATGGGATCAGAGCTTTGGGGACAGCATGTCTCTCTGGCATTTAGTGATGAATACTTTTCAAGCTGTGAAGAAATTAACCAAATGTACTATAATGACAGGATGCTACCGGTAGTCAGAGCTATGTGAAAGTATTTCTGTGAATAAGAAATGAAAAAAGATAGACCTGTGCATGCTGACAGTAAGCTCACCTTGGTTTAAAAGCACAAATATTTGATGCGCTTATGTATAGTAGCTTCTCCTGCATAATTACAAACAGCCCTTTCTGTCTTGCACACTGAAATGCATTACACACACATACACACATGATAAATACATACACTACTATCTAAGACAGACAGAAACTGCATACTTAGCATGTATGTTTTTAAGACAACAATCATTTGAATTTCAAATGAGATGTATTATGCATATGCACTGCTACACTTAACATTAAACAGTGAATTCAAATGTCGTCAATGCAACTCAAGCCCATTGTTCACTATCACGTCTAAACACAGAAAATACATGGTTTTTAATATCTAATTAAGACTCAAATGGAATATGATGTATGATGGTACTTCTTATGGCCATTTATTTGTAAAAATGCAATTACATACAGACAATATTAACAGCACTTAACAGTATTGTCTGGAACATCTGGGTGATCATTTAAGTGAAATGGTGGTTCAAATCCTATGAGAGTACTAAAGGGTGGCACTTCAATAGCCCTAATGAAAGATGGTTGTGTCATGCAAATTACTGCGACACAATGCATTTGCAAACTAAGTTGAGGCAGATTTTACTGAAGTCAAATATAACACATGACACATCTTTGTTTTTAACTCTAAAATAATGCATACAGTTTGTTCAGTTTTTCCATTATGAAAAGACTACAGATGAGGCGTTCTATTAAGCTTAAAATGTGTGAAGGGATAATTCAAAAGAGTCAGTTGGTTATTGCATAGCTTTCATCGGTTGAAGTTTCTACTTATACTTACAGCATGAGGTATCTATTAACCATTGCTACCCAGGAAGTAAATGGATATCCAGTCAACGGGGTGAAAAAGTGATTTTCTATTTCATTAAGGGTTTATGCTCTCAGAGGCTTGTCCATGTATGATTCCACCCTAGAGTGTAGTTTATTTTCGGTAATATTGATCCAATCAATACCTGCAGAGGTCAGCATTTGTTCAAAAACGTATTAAAGGTGTTTTTTTCTTTTTTTTGTATCTCAGCCAGTAAAAAAGTAAGGCTTTTAAACTTTTCACCCTTTGATGTTTTCAGTATGTCCTAATGAATGGGTCACTATTTTGTACATACGTCGAGCAGCTCAGTGGAGCAAAAAATCACTAATGCAACAGCTGCAGAAAGGATATTGATTTGTTTCTCTAAGCACAAAAATCAAGGAGGTAATATCAATGTCACTGAAAATGTAATAAGGCACACAGTCACAGTTCCTCTTCTTACTTTCCTTATGCATTTCCCCAAAATTAAGCATCAAACACTTAATTTGACTGTTGCCTCGTCCAATTTAATTTTCCTTTGAAGTGTAACAACATCTATAGTCTGTAAAAAGAGAGGCGCTAAAGAATTCTTTGCGTGCATCTCTAAAGCACAAGTAGCTGTAATGTATGTGAAGAAGCTCTTTGCAAAGCTTCTTGGCTCCACATTCCTATGGATAGTATCACACAAGAGATTTGTGCTCAGAGTGAAATAAAGGCACTATGAAATCAACAGTGCAGTGTTGTACCTCAGGGAAGCCCACAGAGGACACTCATGATGCTGAGCACCACGGCTATGTTCCATCAGTGCTCACTGCTCTGCAGGCAACATTGTGCATGCGTCTGCATGACAAAACATGCCCTTCCATCCATGCAACAACACAGCACTGGTACACTTACTGTACTCATGTTACATTCAAGCTATTTAACATCACATACAATGACATTTCTATTCTGATTCAGTTTTTGGCCTGAGAAAACAAAAGCCCTCAGAGATTTATTAGTCTGCAGAAAGGACAAGTTCTGCCTCCCACAGCTTCATATTTTTTTCTGTTTGACAACTGCATTCAGTCCAAATGCCTGGAGGATCCATCATAGTTCAATCTAGACAAGGTCAAGGCATGCTGTCTTTCTGTAGCCTATTAGCTAATTCTCCCAGCGGATCAGCCGTTTCAATATATCCAGCAACAATATCAAGCAGGCCACTGTCTCCGTAGCACTCTAGTCCAGTTTACAACTTGGTAGAAGATGCTAACGAAGGCATTAAATGAAGACAGAATATCACAGTCCTGAGGGTTGGAGAAAAAAAAAAGTACTATACTATACCTTATTGGCGGGGCTGAAGAGTTTCTTGTTGAGGTCAGGGAAGAGCAGGCTGACAGAAGAAGAAATCCTGTAACACAAAGATGGCTCATGAAAATGTGTTCATGCTAAATTCCTCTAAGGCTACCACCTGCAAAAGCTGCCTTGGTGGATTTTTACTGGTCAGCATAGTTTTGATTTGTGAATATTAACATTATTATAATGCTTTGTCAGTGTGTTTCATTGTCTTCAAAAGTGCTTATTGTCTTGACAACTTTTTCATTTATTTAGAAAATCAATTAGCTTTTGGAGATAGGCAAACTGGCACATCTTGAGAGATAAAACATTTCAATTAAAAACCATAGATGAGATTAGGAAAATGCTTCCTAAGGCAGTAAAACTCCAGGAAGCCATATCATGAATCAGCAGGAACATTTTCCACTTACATAATATCACTTTTGGATATTCTGCACTAACAATATAAAGGCTCAGTTTTTCAGTGTACAGTAAAAACAGGTAGCCCTCTGAGCTTTTGTTTTGTCTTTTTAAATATACTTAGAGATGATATTCAGAGATAAGACTGGAGCATAAACAGATCTTCACTGAAAAAAAAGCTAATTTCTAAGTTAAGTTCAATGTGCGGAAGTATTCTTTCTGAGACAACCGTATTACACTGATTCATAAGAGCATTTTAGGGGCAAACATGCCACAGACAGCACATGACAGACCCTAATTTTAGGATGCTGTCATTGAATATTATAGGCTACATCCATCGCAGCCTGATGTGACTCTAAACAGTAGACAATTTCTAGCAACAAATATGTGCACGACATGAACAGGGATGGCATTACTACATTGTAAAGGACATCCTGTGCTATTTAAGAGCTACTTCTAGTCTATGCAACTCTTGTGCTTTAGGATTACACCTCACCTCTTTGCCTGCCTCCCTGCATGCCTGCCAGGCAGCCATCTACCAGCTCTCCACAAGCCACCTCAACCCCCTCATCATCATCGCCATCACCTTTTTGGAATAAAACCTACTTAACTTCACCAAAAAATGCTGAATTTGTGTCTTGCATTTGGGTCTACGCCTTAACCAAACATAACAGATCATCAGAAAAAGACCCTTCAGTGTTTATCATTTTTGCAGTGTGTTTTTCTGATATTTGAATAAGAAAACTAAGGAATAAGGTTTGGCATTGTGTAGGCTTTTTCATTTGAGTAAGAGACAGGTAATAATAACTGGTTTTGGTCCAGTCACCTGTTGTTTTTCTTATCTTCCTCCACATGTTGAGAATCAGTGATAAAATCTGGATGGTTATTGGATGTGTGCTACCGAGCTACGAATGATCAGTGACCTAAACTTACCTCAACCTGACCTCTGCTTGATTGGAGAGGCTGTGGCTCTCAAGGGTTTTCAAGGCTCTGATGCAGGCTAAATGTCTGACCTCATACACTCGTACCATCATTTTGGGCTTTGTCGCTGGGTTCATCTTTCATTAGCTAGAGGTCAGCTGGGTGGTCCGTGTGTGTATGTGTTTGTGTATATGCTGCAGTATGTTCACTGACAATATTTGCATACGAGTGAATGGGTTCACGTACCCGCATTATACCTGTCTGCATGTTTTTGTGAGGATCTGCACTTGTGTGCGCGTGCGATTCAATCAATACTATTACTACTCCCTCTTTTATATAAGAAGGGCTCCTTGAAATCAAATGAAACAACCTATCTGCTGGCACACAAAATGATGACTGAAGCATAATTGGCTGCCTGCAGCCATAATTGAAAGTGCCTGTGGTATTCATACTCGTGGTATATATATATATGAGACTGAAGCAGTAATGAGGCCTATTTTCCCAGAGTGATATTACAAACATCACAATCAAGATCAAGACGAACATCTTGAAGATGTAAAAAAAAAGTAAAAAGTTTTTTAGCACCAGTTCTAACATATTCCACAGCATAGACTTGGAAATTAAAGGTACCCTGTGAAGTATTTGACTGCTAGAGGCACTGTGGAGCAATGTTTGCTGAGCAGATCACCCTAACCCCCTAACCCTACCCCCTAGCCCCTAGCCCCAAACCTCAAAACTTTGTACATCAGCTATGTGAACAGGAAGTCACAGCAGCATCACAGGATGTAACATAACTTGCAAAAATAAGAGTTTGTAGGGGGCACAATGGTAAATTAAAAGTAACTGCCAATCTTTGTAAATGTAGAGTTAGTAGTTAAGTCAAACTGTTTACAATGAGAGGGAAATAATTGATTATGCTAATCTAACTGATGCTATTTCAGTCAGTCAAACATTATTGACATACCATTTTTTTAATTTGAGGAATGTGTTTGTGAATGTGAATTTCAAAACTCATTATCATCATTAAACAGAATTTTAATCCAGTGCCATGCCAGATGTGTCAGCAACGTACCATTACCTATTTTACTCTTCCTTCTAAACAGGTAGTCAATATTTTATCTATTTATTCACGGTTTATTTAATAGGGACAGATACAGTAAATATAGACTGGCTGAAAACAGCTATACGATGCAAGCATCATAGTGTTTATAATGGATGTTAATTTGCAACAGCCATCCCTATTACTAAACTAATATTAGCTCAGTGAGTTTGTTAGCTACATTACAGTTAAAACTGACAGTTGCTGCGTGTAAATATTTGGTAACTATTTCATGTGGTACAATTAATCTAATGTTTTAATTTAGTGACGCATGAATCTCCACTTACTTTAAGTCTAAAGCACAATGTTGCAGTATGAGTCTCTGTAAGTACCACTGCATACACTCCAATAGTCCAATAGCTCTGCCAGTACTGTATTGATCCTTGAAAGTGCACATAGCTGTGGTATTTGTTTTCTGAATTTTGGTTCCTTGCCAACCTCTGGGGCTTTTAGGGTCATCTAAGGAGAAAAAAACCATCTCTACTGACTGAGCAGCGATTAGTGACTAGCGCAGATCCTCACGGCAGAGTTTGACTGCAGGCCTGTTTTGCCCATGTACGAGCTGAACCCTTCACTGTGGCTCATGCTGTTATGGTTTCTCAGGGCATGACTGGCGCAAACAGTAACAGTAAGTGCTAACCGGGAGGCTTGAATGCAGCAGGGGCTCATTGAGGCAACATTAGCCCGGTGCATTAGCCTAGCTCTCCTGTGACACACTTTGTGCTGTCTGAGGCAGCCACTGTGAGCCACATCTAACTGTCTCAGTACGGGCCACACAGCCTCTCTGCTGCTCATCAGCCGCTCGTCTCTGTCATCTCCCATTCATCTCTCCTTTCTCTTTCTGTAAACCCGCCGATGTCTTTGTTTTGCTACTCTTGTCTAATTGCTTTCTCATAAACCCTGTGCAACCATCTCTTTTTATCTGTCTGATTTTCTCTCTCCTATATCTTTTCGCTCACATTTGATCACTTGCAATCCAGCTTTGATCTGACTTACCGAGCTGCTTTGTAAATAAACAAAAAGAACCCACCCTCTTCTCCTTAGTCGTGCGCTTTTCTTTTTCACACTCATATTACAAAAGGCATAAAGCAAACAGGGACCACTCCACTGAGATATTGATGCGAAGAAGTCTATTTTCAGAAAAACAAACATGGCATCACAATCCTCTTTCTCTCTCTTTCTCCTGCTCTCTTACAGTATGTGCTCTCATAATTGCGCACACTATTGTATCAAATGTCTGCACATTGTCATCCCTTTCTATTTCCCAGCAGGGCCCTTTATAAACACAGTCAGACTCAGGTAGTGCACCAAGGGAGTAGTGCCCCCATAATCCACTTTGGATGTGGAGGATTTACCCACTGTCCCTCTCTCCTCTCCTATCAGTGACAGGAGCATAGTCTCAGCAAGGGTTCTCAAAGGTAACCAATCACTGAGAGCCTGGGTGGGTCATGGCTAGGTGAAGCCTCCGATAAAACCACGCAGGCATCAGATGTGATACATAAGGACAGACACAGAGTGTTTTGGAAAGCGCTGTGGGAGAAGCTCCAGGGTGATCTCTTTGTGTCAGAGTGTGATTAAATTAGACGATGGTTCAGAGGGCATTGCCAAGGACTTGGTCGATATTTCATATTGGCCCATGGATATTTTATCAGCATCTCTATTTACAGAAATAGTGACAGCTACTTAACAACCTCAAATTCTTATCACACACACACACACACACACACACACACACACACACACACACACACACACAAACTACTGTATAATTACAACTGTTCAAAACATATCTCCTCAAAACAACACTTGTTTTGCTCTGGGGGACATGAGAAACAGGTCAGAGTTCACTCAGTGTTTCCTCATCCTTTTTGTTGTAAGAGCCCACAGTCATGCCTATTGGGGTCAAATATCTCTCTGGTCATTGTTACAGTGTAACTGCAGCTGACTCCAGGGGGAATGCTGCAAGAGACTCACTTTAGTTTAGCTTTGCTCCGAGTGCTACTTTCTTGCTCTACTTCATGCTCCACTTCTTGTCCCCTATAAGTTATCTCTGGCATACTTAACTTCTCTAACTAGTCCATCATTGCTGACAAATGGTCATGCTGTAAAGAGAGGAATATGCAAAAGGTTTGTGTGTAGTCATCGAAAAAATTGTCCCTAAACCAGATTTCAAATGCTACAATAACGAAATGAGAGGATTAAGCCATGAAATATATAATGTATTATAGATGAATACAGTAGAAGATACAACATCCTACTTTGGATTTGTATTTTTCAGACCAGCTAACGTGGTAGTTCTAGGGGTGGAAATGTCAGTGGGTCAGTCGGTCCATCACTTTGACTGTTTATGTAGATTGAATTATCTCAACAACTATTCAATGAATTGCAAAATTTAATACAGAAATTCATGGTTCTCAGACAATGTGTCTTAATAACTTTGGTGACCCTGACTTGTGGTTGTGTCTAAATGGTAACCCCAGATTTGTGAAACTTTCGCACATGCACAGTGGCAGATTCAGTTATACTGCTAGCCGCTTCAAAATATTCTTGTCTTGCTGAGTTTTTTTATGCCAAGCCAGCCAAATTAATAGAAATAAGTGCATTAGAAATTCAATCAGCAGAAACCCACCGTTGTA